CAGGTTCACTGATGAGTTGTGTGTTGTGGTGGGTTCACTGATGAGTTGTTTATTGTGGAAGTAGGACAGTGTGGTCACGGGTTCACTGATGAGTTGTGTGTTGTGGAAGGGGGCAGTGTGGTGGCGGGTTCACTCATGAGTTGTGTGTTATGTAAGTGGGGCAGTGTCATGGTGGGTTCACTGATGAGTTGTGTGTTGTGGAAGATGGGCAGTGCCGTGGTGGGTTCACTGATGAGTTGTGTGTTGTGGAATTGGGGCAGTGTGGTGGTGGGTTCACTGATGAGTTGCGTGTTTGGAAGTGGGGCAGTGTGCTGGTGAGTTCACTGATGAGTTGTGTATTGTGGAAGGGGGGTAGTGTGGTTGCAGGTTCACTGATGAGTTGCGTGTTGTGGAAATCGGGCAGTGTGATGGCGGGTTCACTGATGAGTTACATGTTGTGGAAATCGGGCAGTGCGGTGGCGGGTTCACTGATGAGTCGTGTGTTGTGGAAGTCGTGCAGTGTTGTGGTGGATTCACTGATGAGTTGTGTGTGGTGTTAGGTTCACTGATGAGTTGTGTGTTGTGGAAGTCGGGCAGTGTGGTCACGGGTTCACTGATGAGTTGTGTGTTGTGGAAGAGGGGCAGTGTGGTCACGGGTTCACTGATGAGTTGTGTGTTGTGGAAGTCGGGCAGTGTGGTGGCAGGTTCACTGATGAGTTGTGTGTTGTGGAAGTCCGGCAGTGTGGTGGTGGGTTCACTGATGAGTTGTGTGTTGTGTCAGTCGGGCATTGTGGTGGCGGCTTTGGCCATGGTACTTTAAGTACTTTAGTCCAAATTGCAAAAACATTCCGTCTTTATTAATGTTGAAACAAAATTAATTAAAAATTTCAGAAAAATATATAGAGTTGAATGAGCTGTCTTTAATCTTAAGTAACTGTGGGTGCCACGGTGGCGAGATGTTAACTACCTCGCCCGGTATACAGGAGGTCATGGAGTTTGCGTGTCTCTCACTGTGGTTCTCCGGGACCTCCGGTTTTTCCCTCCACATTTAGAAACATGCATTTAGAGTATTTTGCTGCTATACATTTCCACATGATAAGCCACTTCGTTGAGCTATCATTTGTGTCCAGGTCGCTTATCAAAAAGAGCTATGCAGCTCAGTGGGCCTTACCTGGTAAAATAAATAGTTTAGTATAATTTCGATTTAAAGCTTTCGTGACTGCAGGGATTCATCTTCTTGGTTCTTTGGGTAAAGTTACGTGGAAGGGAAAAAATAAAATAATAAAAATAAAACATAATAAAATAAAATTAAACTTTTATAAATAAATGTATTATTGTATAATGTTTCATTTTTATTATTTTATTATTTCCCTTCTACGTGACTTTACCGAAAGAACCAAGAATATAGTTTAGTATAGTTAAATGACTCTCACTATGATTGGAAGCCCGTTCTGGTAAGTCCTCACTTCTCAGGGCGCAGCTGCAGTGCCTCCTGGTGGACACAAAGCGGTCCTGCAACGTTCAACATCCACTCAGTTCGGCGTGCGGGTTTCAGTGCCGGCCTTGGCAAAGTTTGAATACAAACCAGCGGCCTGCCCGTCCGTCCCTGCCTCCCCTCCGTCCCTAACCTCCCTCCAGTCAGAAAAACTCGTTTTGGACATATTTGTCAAACATAGTATGATGAGGTTATATTGAAATACTTGTTAATGATTGAAGACTTCTTGGTTATTTCGGTAAAGTCACGTAGAATGGAAATACAATATTACGTTTTATTTTTATTATTTTATTTCCACTCTACGTGGTGACTTTACCGAAAAGAACCAAGAAGAGGAATCCCTGCAGTCACGAAAGCTTTGAATCGAAATGTAATGATTGAAGAGTGTGTATGTTACTCAGCAAGCATGACTATGAAAAAAAACTGGTAATCGCGAAATGTTTTCAAAATGCTAACAGGCACCATGGTGTTAAGTGCTCTTTTCAACTCGCATTCACTCTCTGGCCTCCGCGTGTTATTAAGATCAAGTGCCTGAAATGCCACTTATACATACTGTAATCACCCAGGAATGTCTGTCCGAAACGCTCGTGACGTCACTCCACATCGACCAGCCCCTCTCATTAATATTCATGAGCATGTGACGTCACCCACCCCTCCTAATTAATAATCATGAGCATGTGACGTGACATCGAACTACCCCCTCATTACCTTTTGGTTCTTTCGGTAAAGTCGCGCAGGTAGAAAACATAATAATAATAGATCACGACGTATCGATCGATACGACGTATCGATCGAAAGAACCAGAGTATTGATTCCTGCAGTCACGAAAGCTTCAAACCCCCTTCATTAATAATCATTAATTATAAGGTGACGTCCTCCAAATGGACCCCCCCTCGCCATTAATATTAATTAGTGTGTGACGTCACTCCACATGGGGGGTCGAGGCGCCTCCTCCCCCCTCCTCGGCATCAACTTTCAACTCGGGCAGAACGATTAATCGATTTCAAATCGAAATCGCAATTTGAATCAATGCGATTAGCAAATCGCAAATGCTGCGATTTTTTGCGATTTGAAAAGTCCTATTACTTTCATTGAATTGTTTTATTTTGTATCGTTAGAACTTTATATATTTAACTTAACAATTGTTCTGTGTTATTGTTCTATTTCAATTAAAACATTTTAATAAATACATGTTGGAAGCAATTCATATCTTTTAAATTCTCACCCTTGAATTAGAATATATAGACCAGTTCATATTTTAATGATATCACGTGGTAATGCTCCATCACATGTTTTAAATCTATTACACAGTGAATATTGAACTGAAGCTTGACTTAAAAAAATTTAATCGCAATATCTGTCAGAAAAATCACAATTAGATATTTTCTACAAATCGTTCAGCCCTCCTTACAACCCTCACTACAAAGGCAGAACCCTCACGTCACGTGATCTCTGTAACGCTACTGAGACATCAAAGTAAAAAGGACGCCGTGATGAACAAGGGATTATAACCTTTAAATGAAATAAGTCTGTGTCACCGCGCCCTTACTAATTGCACGCGAACTGATTCAATGAATATCACGTCGTGGTCAGCTTTTCGCTTACAAGTTTCACTTTTACTGCAATACACCCGTCCTTGGACAAGCAAAAGGCTGGTTTTTATATTTTTTGTTAGCTTTTAATGCCAGTGTTAATGACGAATGTGAGTCTTTTTGTTCAAATATATTCCATTCGTTGTGACTCCTCTGCGTCCCTGCTGCAATGTAACCAAATCTTCAAGCTCGACTTTTATTGCACCTCCGATTCGCGTGGTTGGCTACGCACGGTGCAAAAGAAGTTCAACACACACACACACACATATATAAAATGTCGTAATTCATATCGGAAATAATCATCTTACCCGCAACTACAATTATCCGCGGGAGATGTAGGCGATAAAGTAAAGTTGGGTAAATTCGCGGATAAGGAATGAATTGCATTGCACGATTTAAATTCCCCATTATGTCAATGCCAATTCAGCCCCGACTGTCGTTGTGTTAAGCCTATGGGGCCGCCACAGCTGTAACTCACGGTCGGTAAATTGGGGCCCAGGTTGTTGTTGTTTTTACAATGAAGTAATATTGCAAGATGAGTTAGAAGAGTTGTTAATTTTGTGAAAGCGAAGTCATTTTGACTTTGGGCAATAATAACCGGGGGGCAGGAACAATTGCTGAATGGCAGGCAAAGGAGGGAAACACATCACAGGGGGCATCGTCCGCGGAGATGCAGCAATGGAGATCGGCTCGTGTGAAGAAGCTACTGACCTCATTGTTGCACCGTAGGCACATGCGAATTGCTGATGACAGGACTGCAGTTTATATATATTTCTACATTGTTGAAATTTCATCGCATTTCACCTGTTTGCGTTCACATGGGTGTTGTTATATTTTGCTACAATTGGGAAGTCATTCCGGTATTTTAATAATTGTGTATACATTGTGATTGTGTATTGTTTCGCATAGACTTTCTTTTGTTACCGATGTGTGATGTATTTAGATTCATGGATCCACTGAAAATCAGACATGAATAGACTCAATGAGCTCACACCTGGCTCTAAATATAGGAACAAAACACAAAGAGGATAACATTTTACACTTTTTTACAATTTAAACCCAACTGAATCTCAAAGCGCTTTCAATAAAAAAACACAGGCATGATCATAGACAAGAACAGGGGAAAATAAAGCATTAAAACAAGCCACAGCAAGCTTAAAGACAAAGTACACTTCACGAGACACGAAGTGGTTCAACTTATTTAGTTTTTCGTAGGGTTCGGGTGAAGGGTTACGGTAGAGCATGGGGTCGGCAATCAAAATAATTGCCCTTTTATCTAATTTTGTAAAACAAACCTCAATGTTTCAAGAGCTGCAATGCACTGTGAATACGAGAGACGGTAGAGCCTTAATAAATAACGTGTCACGAAGCATGCCTTAAAGAGCCGCAGGTCGCCGACTCGTGGCCGGTAGGGAATTGTGATGATGGGGTTGGAGTTTAATGCTATAAGCAGTGTAGGCATATTTGAGTCTGCGATGACAGTGGCGTCTCGGGCAAGATAGATTGTGCAGCTGCTGTAGTGCATTAAATTACGGTATACTGTGCTGTATTTATAAAGTGTGATTATATTATCCAAAAAAACAGCTGCATAGGCAGTCACACGTGTGATGTTTATGAGCATTATCATGTGTGGTGCGTACAGAGAAGGCATTGTCAACTGGTTATGATTACGCATTAGAACCCTGCTCTTTGCATTACTCATTCACATACCTGGCGAGTTCTGGTTGCTTTAATTCAATGCTGGACCTTCTAAAATCTTTCACTTGGTGCTGACAATTCAACCGGAAATTTGATGTTGTTAACATTAAAATATAAGTATGGGCTCCACGATTCCAATTTGTAAGTAACAAAAAATATAAACATGGCAAATGCTAAATTCGGACTGTTACGCGCATTGATTATGTGGGGCGTTGAAGCACTGTTTGACCAGAATAACCTGTTCCTGAAATTAACATTTCAGTCCATCCTCCCGAGCAGCACCAACCCACCCCTTCCTGCTGGCTTTGTGCTAAGTCGCAGTAGTGTGACATGCAGCAGCACACTGAGGCAGAGAGAGAGAGAGACAGAGCGAAGAGTGGGTGGCAGCGAATGATCGCGTTTATTTCTCAGAAGTTGAATGCACCCGAATAAAACAAATAACCCACCCAGTGTGAGGAAGCAACGAGACGCTCCTGTGTGCAACTGAGCACACACTGCACTTTCATTCACCACACGAGGTAAATGCCCTCGGCATCCGGAATCCCTGCTGCAGCCGCTTGCACATTAAGTCGAAGGGGCAATCGTCGATCGTCGCCCGATGAATCGCGCTTCCTTAACTCAAGACCCCCCCCGTCCCATCCCCCGTGTTTCCTTTCTCACAGCTGCGCTGCGATGGCTTCCGAGGGTGACTCCAAGCGTGTGCTCCATCGGGTGAAGGACACCCTCAAAATCGATGGCCCTGATCCCTCCATCACCGACCTGCTGGACTTCTACCTCAACAACACCAACATGCACGGCATGCGCCGAATCGCCGTCTCCAAAGGCCCCATCAAGAAGACGATTTGGATCGTGTTCTCGCTCATCGCAGTGGCGATGGTGTTCTGGCAGGGCATCCAACTCATACAGAGCTTCTACTCCATCGCCGTGTCGGTGACGATCAACTACCAGAAGTTGCCCTTTCCAGCCATCACCGTCTGCAGCCTCAATCCCTACAAGTGAGTGGAGAGCTTGGTTTTCTGGATGATTTAATCGGATATGCGTTTTTCATTTCCACGCATGGTTTTGTTTGTAGCCTATAATAAATAAATATCGCCATCAGCCACTGCTGGATGAAGCGCCCTTCCAAGTTGCCATCTCTCACGTTCAATTGATGTACCGATCGTTAAAATAATTGATCCGTCTCCACTGTGAACGTCCCCTCGGATACGTTCCCTTCTTTGGCTGCTCCTCCTTCGTTATTCTCAGCCACGGCTCGCTCGAGTGACGTTGTCCTGCCCAAGTCCCACTTACATTACGGAACACACACCATTGTGTGTGTCTTTCTAACACGTGTTAATCTCATTGGCTCTTCGGTGTGATTCCAAGCTGCTGCTACAGATGCAACCGGTACATTTGCAGTATTGTTACATGTGGACAAAAGGAAAATTTAATAGTAAGTAATGCGAAGACAAATAAGTACGGGTAAATTCAAACACCGTAATTAACTAACGGTGTGTTAAATATATTTTTCTGTTAAATGCCGCGTTCATAAAATGCCTACGTCAAAAATATCTCCACATAATATAGTACAGTAATTAAATGTCAAAAGTGGTTCGCACACTCATCTCGAGTTTTTATTTATTTTTAATTACGAAAATATTTGTTAAATAAAATTCTAAAGCGCTAAGCTGGTAACGCTACAGTACGTGTATTTTAAACATTGACAACACATTTAAGCAATATCATGAAAAATAAGAATACGTTTTACCCTTTATGGCAGTAAAACAGGTGTTATGATGTTCAAAACACCAACAGGAATCAAGTCTGCATTAACCACACGTACTTCGTGGTGAACATGCAAACAAACATGCTATAATAATATACGCATTGTCTTTCAAACTGGTGCAGATTTCATTCCTTGCAGAGGAAGGTTTCTATTTGGTGTTTAAACATCTTAACACCTGTTTTATTCTTATTTTTGATGCGTTGATACTGGCAAACAGGTGCCATGATATAAGCCATGTCGTTTGGTGGCAAGGTTTTACACGCAGGTTTCTGTTGCTGAGGAGAGGAAGACTTTGTGCAGGACCGGATTACGTTTGGTGGGTGGCTGGGGCCGTTATAGTTTTTGGGGGGCAGGGGGGGGGGCCTCTTTGTCGTTGTAATTCCTTACTTGACTGTTTTATCTCCCACCCATATCCGATGCCCCCGCCCTATTACCATTCAACTTGGTTATTTCAAATCTCGTTTGTAAATGCGATTCATAAAATGTAAAGCTAAGCCAAAGTTAAAATGATCAAGTGAATTTCAGGTTTGGCACGTAACTGTCCGAATACACATTGCGATATCAATGCTTTCATGCAGCAACTTAACCTGCAGGATGTATCGCAATGCCTACAAGTATTGCGTTTGAACCTAAAAGCCGCGGCGTCGATCCCAACCCGGCCTACGCGTACCAAAAGTTCAGAGCGGGGGGGGGGGGACGGGACGGCGCTTCGTCTCCTGCCCGATCTAACGACGCCTCCTGCGACTGGCACGCGTGCAGATACAATCAGTCCCAGGCTCTGCTGGAGAAGCTGGACAGGAACACCGCCGTGGCTCTGCACAACATCGGCATCGCGGTGACGAACCTCAGCGCGGCGAAGCGGGACGACGAGCCGCTGCCCATACCGCTGGTGTGGCTGGACACCACAGTCACCAATCAAACCGTGGTCACCGATGTGATCAGTGGCAAATTCCATGTCGTCCCAGGCGAGGTGGAAATGAGGTCGTACTTCAGCCAAAATTATCAGTCGTCCGAACCTCTCATCGCCATTGAAGTGGTAAGTTTGCTCTTTACAAACACTGTTGATTGCAGTTATTCGCATTCAATTTGTATGCGGTTATATGGATTTCCCTTTACGCGTGTTTTGTATTTCCGTCCAAGGCTGTGAACAAATGTCCAAGTTTCAGTTTGATGCAAAAGTAAACGTTAATAGAGGTTTAATTTACTGACATATTGCGTGCGCGTGTGTGTGTGTGTAGTGTGGAGAAGAGAGAAAATGTATCTACAATGCCTTCACGTCTGCCATTGATGCTGTAATACAGTGGTACCGCCTGCACTTCATCAACATCATGGCCATTGTGCCCGAGAAGGACAAGGACAAGCTTGGGTATAGTGCGGATGAGTTCATTATCGATTGCCTCTTCAGCGGAACTGTTTGCGATCCCAGGTAAAGCCACTGCCGCCTCTCCCCAGCCCTGCGCTGACATTGCACTATTAACTATTTAAACTATTTATTTTACAAGGTAAGGCCCACAAAGCCATATAGCTCTTTCTCAGAAGCGACCTGGCCACAAATGATAGCTCAGCTAAGAGGCTTATGACATGGAAATGTAATGCAGCCAAATACTCTAAACGTGTGTTCATTCTAAATGTGGCGAGAAAAACATGGAGGGTCCCGTAGAGGAAAATCCACACGATCACAGGGATAACACGCAAACTCCAAATATACAGCAGCATGTGTCGGTCGGGATCAAACCCACGACCTCCTGGATACCAGGCGAGGCAGTTCACATCTCATAGCCACCGTGGTGCCCAGTTGAGCCACACGCCAACAGCCACACAGCCAATGTATACTGCGCATGGCAGGTAAATCGGGGGCTATTTGTTTATGTTATATGTAAAATTACTTTTTTTGCACGATGGTATTTCAGGTATTTCCGAACTGTGAAGCAACAATGCGATAATTGGAAGGGGAAAAAAGCAAAAATGTGAAATCACGTCAAGATTGATTTTTATATTCTTGTCCACAATGTGAAATGTCTGTTTATAATGTGGACTCCACTCTGCTATGTGGTGGCAGTTTCTCCAAGCTCGGTCTATGTATTTATTTTTCTTGGTGAACACAATTCTGCGCGTATGCACCAACACACAAGTGGCGAAACAATAATAAACCCCTTTCTATTTACTGTAGCAACCCTCTTAACGACGGTAATTGGTTCCACGAAACCGACCATTAAGTGATTTGGTCGTTAAGCGAGTAAAAGAAACGCACGCTAAAGGTTAAATTTGTTCGGATGACATCAGAAGTTACCCTTTTTCACGCAAAAAAGTACTTCAACATATTTCAACAATGGATATTAATATATAAAGATACTAACAACTTTATAAACACATAATATGAAAAGAAACATGGTTAATCAATGCATCATTAATATTTACTGTACCTTCAACAGCCTGTCGTTAACAGGTTAATGATCGGTAAGCAAACGCATTGGAATCTATGGAGGCTCCTCAAGCGATGAGTCGTTAACAGGGGGTGGTCGTTAAGAGGGGTTCTTTAGTATGTTCTACTCGATGGCGTTTGGTGCTTCAGTTGCAAACGTTTAATCATTTGTTCCAATGAACTGCGACCTTGCTCTTTTTTAGCACAAGCTTCAAGAAGTTACAACATCCAATCTTGGGAAATTGTTTCACTTTCAATGACGGAAGCGATGGGAAAAGTTTGGACATCGCCTCCGCCGGCATTGACTACGGTGGGTGCTGCATTGCGCAACCAAACACAGATGCAGTCTTTAAATCTTCGAGATGTTATTTTTCTGTATTCCCTCACCGCCCCACCTTCCCCCCCTCCAGCGCACAAAAATAACATTTTGAAAATCACCAACATTTTAAAACCAGTCAATGTTCGTTTGGAATTTTCAGGGCTGCACATGGTTCTTAACACGAGGCAGGACAATTCCCTACCCTACCTGGCCATGGGGGCCGGTGCCAAGATTGGCATCCACCTGCAGAATACAACTCCCTTCATCGAGGCCGTGGGGATCGACATCCCCCCAGCCATGGAGTCTTCCCTGGGACTTCGAGTGGTACGCGTGAATCACGATCAGTATAATGGGTTAGGGTATCCTGGTTGTGCTCTATATGTTTCTCTCTTTGATGTGATTTCGGGTTGCGCCGTGTGTTATTGTTGTTGCTTGGTACGATGTCCGACGTTTTGCCCCACGTGCCAGGAGCTTCTGCAGGAAATCTCCAAGAAGTGGAGCGAAGTGTTGGTGGGGGGGGGGGGGGCATCCGGCTGAACAACGCGCAGTATAACCAAAGGAACACATCGGAGAACCAATTTAAGCTCCCCTTGAGAAGCTGACGCTTTTTGTTGTTGTTGTTGTTTCTGTAAAAAATGTAAAGAACGATGTCCAAAAACTCGGTGACCCTTACAGCGACTGCACAATGGACGGAAGTGACATCGATGTAAAAAGCCTCTACGACAGCCCATACTCGGTGCAAGTGAGTACTTTGCCAACCGTTAACTGTGTTGCACATCACGGATTGCCGCTTGCGTCGGCAGCACTGCAGCGTCCTACCGTGCTTTTGGTTCGCGCCGCCAATTGAGCTGACCGCTTTCACGTGTTGTGTTCAAAAGACCTGCCAGAACTCGTGCTTTCAGTGGGAGATGATCAAAAGCTGTGGCTGTGCCAATTACGAGCAACCGCTGCCTGAAGGATCTCGCTTCTGCAACTACGACAACAACCCAGGCTGGGGTGAGCGGCTCCACTCAAAGCGAAGTTGGACAAATGTTAATTTTGTACATTAAACGGGGGGGGGGGGGGGTCCCCTTTAGTCTTCCTGTGCTCCGAGACGACAATGATTCACGCTCGACTCCCTTCTGTTCCACCTTCCCATTTTCAGAGTACTGTTACTACCGCCTATACGACATGTACATTAAAGAGGAGCTCAAGTGCATTCAAGTCTGCCGGCAAATTTGCTCGTGAGTGTAAAAAAAATAATAATAAACCACGGCTCTGTCGCATTTCTACCGAACTCCGCCTGTCCCCACGGTGATGCGGGAGGATGGACATCGCCGGTTCTGTTGTCTGTGAAGTTGTCTACACATTTACGCCACTTAAAAATGACACACCACCTCTTCACTTTGACTTTCACGACACGTCGGGTACACGGGCCTGGCGGATATTCGGCGTGCGGTTGTGGTCTTTTTTTTGTTGTCTCGCAACATTCTGCTGCGGGCCTTTGTTCATGTGTACAGCAGAAATCGAATACTAAAAAGTATTTAAGCAAATAAATAAATAACTGTTAATAGGACAATGTAACAAATAGTGCTGTGGATAATAGGAGATTTTTTTTTCTGCGGACTCTACAGCTCCCGCAAATAGAATTCGTGGGCAATTGGGTCGTGGATGAGAGGAGTTCTCCTGTACCGTGCTGGTATGTGGCTTCGATTGCTGCCTCGTGTCAACGGAGGCAGTGCTATGGCTCGCAAGATTACGAGCCGTGTCAATGCATCACCTACTAAGGCGGTGCATTCAAATACGTTCGGCTTGAAGGCAAGGGAACCACAGCCGAACCTAAACGAGGCTGGATGTTGTCATTACTGGCGAAATGTAGCAGTGCTCGAATTGTAAATGCTGTGTGTTTACTCTCCAGCACACGACCTGGTGTGCTGGACTCGTCACGAATTGGCATGTTTTGTTTACGTGACAAACCGTACTATTTGGCCGTGTCGGGTGGTGGCGGGTTTAATTACACATTTATATTTACACGATCTAACCGAAAGAAAAAAAACCTCTCGTGGACTAAACGGATGTCGTTTTAGTTGATTAATATTGCTGCAAGTAAATCCCATGTATGTAATACTTATCAGGCTATTATCTTCATCATCAATATTATTTCTATTGTGCTTTTCACATTGAATGTGTTCCTGAGGCCTACACCCCTGGTCGTATGAACTGGGATATTTGCATTGTCTGTTTGTATTGTCGTACAGGGAGACGGAGCATGAGGTAACTTTGAGCCTAGCTGACTGGCCGTCCAAAGCATCGAAGGTAAGTGCACCAATGTCATGTCTGTTTGACCGAGCCTTTTCTGTCGCTGTAGGGGATAGGCTTACATCCACATCTAGCTACAGGTGTCGGTGAACCAATGGCGATTAGTTCGGCCAATTAATTTGCACGCACGTGCATGGTCCACCCCTAAATCGCATCCACCACACAAACCATGGCAGCAGATGCGGATATCCGATGCACAAATGGGAAATAAATTAAAAACTCCAGGATTGGTGCGACTGTGGTCATCCAGAACAAGACCGCACAACGCATAGCGACGCAATGCCCCGATACACGAATACGAAGGAGACATCACGGCGATACGCTCCGCTACTGATCGTGCGGTTGTCTGGCTTGACCACCTGAATGTGAATTTGTTGTCGTTGCTCTGCATCTACATCACCAGCCGCACGAATGAGAGAATTGCACGCACGTGCAATTGCGCGCTTAATCCTCCACAAACACCTGTCGCTAAAACGTGGACACCCTTGCAAACGAGATGTTCCAAACTAAATGGATTGTCCAGGTGGAATAGTTGAACAAGCGCACAGCTTCACAAATATCCAGTACTCAACTATGTACAGTACTCTAATGGTTTATCATGGGCAGTACTGCAGGTCGAGTGTTTTATTTTTTGTTATAATTGACCCTCCAAGTTTGACACCACGGCATGTGAGAAAAACGTATTTTACATACATTTCGGTGTCCCGCAGCGGTTGCTAGCTCACGTTGAGTATAGTTTCAAGTTTCATTTGTTAGGTATAGCCCTGTGAGCCATGCCGCTCTTAAGTCTGGTGCAACCGCAACAAACAATATGAACACAAAATATGAGTATAACGCTTGGGTTTCCCACATTGATGTCATATGTCACGAGCAAGGGAAAGAAAACACTTCACATGGGTTGTGCCCCCAGGGGTGGCTGTTGCGCGCCCTTTCTAAAGAGCAAGGACTGCCGGCCAACGACACACTGAAGCCGTGAGTATGTAGCCAGTGGTGCCACATCCCCATTCAAGGCCATGAACGCGACGCCAAATGATTGCGCTTCAATTACTATGAGGGGCTTAAAATCGCTGTCATTTTAATATCCCACGTTTGCATTTCTCAGGAGCGACATTGCCATTGTCAACATTTACTTCAAAGATCTCACCCAGAAGACCATTTCAGAATCTCCAGCGAGCAGCGTACGTCTTGTGTGTTTTGTTTAACATGTAGCAGTCGGCTTTTGTGACCGATATTATTTATAACAAAGTTATGTTTTGGTGGGTTAGATCGCGTAAATATAAATGTGTCGGTAGCCCACCACCACCCAACACAGCCAGTGTGTTGGAGAATCATTGTAAATGTTGTGGGTTTACTCTCCAACACACCGGTGTGCTGAACTAGTAATTAATTGGCATGTGTTTTGTTTACGTGACAAACCTTACTAATTTGCCATGGTGGGTTAACGGCTCATTTGTATTCACACGATCCAACCCTTGTGTGTTTTCACGAAGAATTCCGCTTATAGAATAAAAAATTGGAGACTGAACACATCGGTACTGCCACATAGGTTTCCGCACTTGTGGTGCTGCTTAGTCCTGCGATTTATTTTGTCTCCTGGTTTGTACCACGCGCGCTATCCAGCACGACGTCTGATGCTTTGCTCTGTGCACCAGTGAGCGACACGTGGTACAACCCTGAACCCCATCGGGTAGCCGAACCCAACCCATTAATACACGCTCTTTGGTTCTTTCGGTAAAGTCATCTATGTAGAAAAAATAATAGATCGTGACGTTTCGATCGCCACACAAGCAATCGTCCTCAGGTGGGATAGAGATCCAATCCATTAACTGCAGAACTCCAGGCATCCGCGTTGATACCAGGCGAAAGCATTTGGCGGGCTCCGTAAATCCGTGGCACATCGCAGAGGCTCTATAATCTGTCAAACAAAATGACAAAATGTTTGCGGCGTGCCGTGGATTTTCGAGAGGAGCCACGGTGCGCGATTCCAAACAATTCGGCACAAAAAAAATGCGTGGATTACGAAGTTGATGCAGCTGGCAACTGGATGAATTCGCCGCTTCTGGGAGAGAGCCAGAAGTCTACGAATTAATGGGAGATTTCTGGATCTCCGCTGCCGCGGATCACAGGAGCAGTCGCAAACTGACAATAATCTGAGAGTTTCAGGGAATAGCAGATTATTACATCGCAAATTATTGAATATCTGCAATGATTTCATTTAAAATCCTGTGTATTTGTATATTCATACTTTTGTTTATCCTTGCATAGGCCCCTAAACCCTCCTTTCAGCCAATATAGGTATATGACCCTGAATGTTCGATAAAACTATCCAAAGTGATTTCATGGGGCCTTCAATGAAGCAACATCTCTATACGCAACTGCTGCAGCTGTGACTGTAAAATAGTTGGCTATAACCAGAGGCCAATCCACGTATGTTTGGCAGGCCATTGTATGTCGTTGACCATTTTTGAGATTTTGTATTAATGCAAAACTGTAACAAAAAATGATTACCATTTTAGATACATTTCATAATTTGGAAAACGTTTATTTTGATACTATCGGTAAAAAAAGCATCCCCTTCAGCCCCCCCCCCCCCCCACTCCAAAGCGTTGGGTGCGCCAACAACTATAACCACAACTCCGGAACAACAGTAGGTGGAGAGAACCGCCGTGCAGACAGCCCTTGTGTGCCCCCCGCGCCTCCCCTTACCGTTTCTAGATCGTGACATTGCTCTCCAACCTCGGCGGGCTTCTGGGGCTCTGGCTGAGCTGCTCAATGCTGTGCGTCGTCGAGGTGCTGGAGATCTTCTGCGTCGACTTCCCGTGGATCCTCTTGAAGAAGCTGCTCACGACGTGCAGCAGCGCGTTCGCGTCCCTCGTCCGCGGCCCCGACCCCGCGCCATCCGTCCACTTCCCCGTTCAGTTGCCCGTGGGTGGCAGCCCGGCGGAGGACCCGCCCACCTTCCACACGGCGATGCAGTGCCCGCGCGAGCCCATTCCGATGCCCAACACGCCGCCGCCCCAGTACAACACCCTGCGCTTGCGCCAAATCGCCGGCTACGTCCCCGACGGGGGCAGCGACGGAGAGGATTAGCGCGGAAGCCGCCGTCGGCGCTCATGCCGGGGGTCGATCGGGAATTGCCGTCGTTAAAAGCTCACTGGCGTGGGAAATACGTGGAAGTGAATATAAGCAGAACTCTCTTCTGTGTCTCCGCATGAGAGTAAAAATAAGTTTTAGTTCGACAGCCTATTGGCTTTCCAGGTAAATAGCATCGAGCATTTGCTGGACCAGTTTTGACCTTCCGGGTCTCATCAGCGGATTTAAGATTTTCTATATGATGTCAGATTAAAAGATCTCATGACAAAAGCACGTCATATAAACAATGGGATCCCATTCAATGCAAAAGGCTGCAAAAAGCAATGCGCTTTTGTCCGGAAATTACGGAGCAGGATAATGTTTTAGTCATTGTGCCTTTGAAAGAAAGACTTTCCTGAAACCTTAGCCTACTGTATAGGGTGTACAAAAATATATACTCCATTTTAATGCAAACTAATTCGGCAGCATTTTGAAAGGCGTGGTTGAAATTTTGCCAAAATGTTCCCTTAAACCATTGACCTTCAGGAGTGCAGAATGGTTCAACCATTCAAAACTATCAACACCTGAAAATCTCTCAATCCTACGACATGTCCTGCCAAACGCCACGGCGGACATGTGGAGGTTTAACAATGTTACCCATGAGATCAAATCTTCATACCACAGTCCCAAGTTTGTGGGTGTGGAGTTTCACAGTTTTAGCTCAAAACTGTAGTCTAATTATCATGTATTACCTCATGGATGGAACATTTTAGGGACACCCTGGATACTCGCCTGTGTTGAAATAAATGGTGATAAGTTTAACACGTAGTCAGATTTGGCACGGTACATGAAATACAGAAATTAATATTTGGTACAAAAGGTGTATTACCGGAGCCATCAACAGAAGGTGTGTGTAGGATTAACTGTACTTGTGGTAAATGGTTTGTTGTGCAAACAGGACCAATGATCAGCACGAGACTAAAAGAACATCAGAGAAATATAAAATACTCCTAAATGCAACTGTCAGCAGTAGCAGAACACGCGTGCCAACAAGGACACTCAATTGATTTTGATAATGTTGAAGTTCTGTGCAAAACTAGCTACTACTGGCCAAGACTAATTAGAGAATCTATCAAAATTTTAAAAAATAAATTTAACTCTTCAGATAGCTACCGTCTTAGTGCTGCGTGGAAGCGAATCATCAAATAAAACATTATTTAAATGCATGCCTATACAAGCCACCATATTTGTATAGGGATTACCGTTGGAACAGCTATTTTAATACACACAATGGACAGGAAGGACAAGATCAAATGGCGCGTATAATGCGCATGCATCATGTACGTTGACTCATTAATCCCCTCCTCCCCCCACTTTGCGCAGGAGCGCAGAAGCGTGGTCACCACATCTACGCCTCTATATAAGGAACAAAACAGGTGGACTTCTCCACAAATCTGGCTGTCGCCTGTTGAAGCTAGTTGTAATTACTGGCGAAACGTCGTACTCAGATTGTAAATGTTGTGGCTTGGCTCTCCAACACACCGGTGTGCTGTACTAGTGACGAATTAGCCACGTTCTGTTTACGTGACAACCCTTAATAGTTGGCTGTGTCGGGTGGTGGCAGGTTTAACGACACATTTTTTTTTTTATTTACGCGATCTAACTCAACAAAACCTTATGAATGGTGATAAGGCTGATGAAAAATAAGAAAATGGTTTTAACGCTCTGGCAATAAAACAGGAGGTGTTAAGATGTTTCAACACCAAATAAAAAACCTTTTGCAAGGCATCAAGTCTGCATTCACCACCCATACTTGTGGAAAAACATGCAAACAAACATTATCTGATAATATACGCGTTGTCTCTGAAACTGATTGGTCTACACTAGAGATAGCCCTCATTTTTAAACATCTGAGCGGGTAAAACTTCATGTTTTTCATTATTTTTGATACTGCCAAATAGGTCCCCATAGGCGACGCGGTTGTTTTGGTTCTATGCTCGCCCACGGCCGCCACCACAGTGGCTCAAGTTTGATTTGAAATATGGCCTCGAATTGTACCACCTCAATGTGCCGCCCATGATTGCCGGTTTCCGCATTGATGCAGCAGAGATGATGCTGGACGGCCATTAGTGGCAGTGTACGGGAAATTGTGGCGTTTCCATTGCTTTTGTGATCTCCGATCGCAAAATGCACTTCAATTAAATCATTCTTTAGTCATTCAGTAATATTTTTGCCTCTGCATTATTGTAACCTAACGACTGCTGATAATGCAAAAATAGTTTAAGTTTTAACAATGTTACATTTTTAAGTTGGTAAATTAGGTGATGGGTAGGTCCGTGTGTTGTGGGGTGAAGTATAGGTGCTCCCTTCTCTTCCAAAGATGTCTGGTCAGCGTGGAAGAGTAGGCCAAATACACTCTGGAGGGGCTGGCTTGACCTCCCTCTAGTGGAGGCATTTTTTTTATCCAATGCGGAGCCGAAGATTTTTACATCAACATTCAGATTGCAAGTGCAGTCATTCCGGAACGTGCCAGTGATTAACGCTGATAGAGTTTGGCTTAATAATTATGTTTGAGACTGCCTCTAGCAGGTGTATGGCCACAGAGATGTGCAGTGCCTCACTACTACCCCAGAAAGTGCCTTCCTTGATACAGTAATCTACTACAATCCTGTAAACTCATGAATAATTCGAGACATTCTAATGTACAATAATGACTACATATTGGCCCGTAGAATAGCTAAAGTGGTTAACACATTTCTGTAGTATGAAAAAAGTGAACATTTCACGTGTGGAGATCCAGACTTTTTTTTCCTTTACTGAATAGCTTCATGAAGAAATAATAGTTGGTCTCATTAGCACATGCAGTATAATGTCGAGTGAACGTTGCATATCTCCAGTTGAGTAATGCCGCGTTCTCCGGATTTTAAGTCGCTCCAGAAAGTAAGGTGCACCGAAAACTGGTGCCCGTTGCCAATAAAGTTGCACAAGTCTCGTTACACACGGACACGCATGCACGCACGCCCACCAGATGGGAAGATACACCCCAACTATTGCTTTAAAATACGGAGGTAATAGTGTGCCTCATAATCTGGAGAATACAGTAGGCATGGAAATTATTGTTATTGGGTAAATATCGTCTATTTTAAGGGGCCGTTTAGAATTCATTATTCAGGGTATAAAAAGATGAGTTCATACATTGCCAGCAATAATTCATTTCAATTATTATCAAACTTAGAATAATGTGATTTTAATGCGTACAAAAGAGTAATGTGTTTTTTTTTATGTAGTAGAACTTAACTCGTCGCCCAGCATGTTTAAATACTATCTATAACATGTTTACAAAACAATATTTAACTTGATTTAGATTTCTTTTGCGAAGAAATCGTTCAGAATAATTCATAAATCAAGGTGGTCATTGTGTATTTTCACCGCCTCAAACTATATTCTTAAATCACGGGAAGCATCCTTTCAAGTATTACACTTCGATGTTAATACATGCAATATTGCTTTGATTAAAAAATAACTGACATGAGGCCTATACAGATAATCATGTTTTATCTTGTGTTTCACAAAATATATGCATTAAATGGTTTATGTTTGTATACTGTTGGAGTGTATTCTGCTATTTTAAGTTATAGGACATTGTAATGCATGGATTTTCTGCTATGTTTAACGAGTAAAACATTCCTTACATGCGTCTCTGGCACACAGAACATGTTACGCGTGTAGGCAGGTGTAATTTTTAGTTTACTGATCTATACTAAATTCATATACGGTAAAACGTCGCATATCTAACTGGCTGGGTACTGAGATATACGTGAATATGTAAAAAGTTGGATATTTGAACACGTAGAGGAATGAGTGACACTTTACTCAAGTTGGCTAATGGACACAAATCGAGTGGAAAGCGCTTTAAACAGAGGAACATGCTTCACTGTGCTTTGGAAGTGAGTGTGCGTGCTGCTAAGAATGTGTTACCGAGTGTGAAAAGGTCGGATTTGTGAACATCTATAGGAAGTGATGGTTCACACCGTCGTGCACAAATTCTGGACAAGGCGTGGGCGGTTAATTGGTAAGGCTGGGCGATGGTCGGATATGGGACGGTCGGATATGCGACTGTTGGATATTTGACGGTCGGATATGCGACGTAACTGTAGTTCATGACGGTGCCATTCTGCGAAGGTCTTCCAGTGTTAACCTGCGCTTCTAAATTTGGAAAACTTGAACGAGACATATCAGCGATCTGTTACAGATACCCTCTTCTAAATTTTAGCTGGCTCAACTTTTTCCGTCATCAGAAACTTGCTTTGTTGCACAATGCCGTTCAACAAGCAACGTTTTGCTGCCACTTTGGAATGAGACTTCGACCGCTTGGTGAGTCTCAGCAAGGCTATCCTGAGCAATATTTTAAGATATTTGACCAAACACCAGATTTTGCGAAGTTATACCTTAACATGTATGGAGACCAGAGCCAGTACTGTATAACAAAAAATCATGATTACAAAAAACACTAAGAATGCAAAGAAGCTTTAAAAGTTTATCTCAAGATAAATATGAGCAAATAAAAAATAATCGACAACAAGTTTACTGAACATTTTTTTTTATTTAGGCATATCAGTTGATCAAAACAAGAGAATATCCTATTGAACGGCCGATATTTAATCCACGCAGAAACGATCAAGGATTAATAATATTAACGTGTTTAAGCACACAGTCCACCGCCGTACTAACTAATTTGAAGGCCAATGTAGACAAATTATTATCGAGGCTTCACCCCCCCCACCAGTTTCCTATGCGTCCGCACATTGTCAGTAGACCCCCCCCCATATGCAAGCGAACGCATTTGGGTTAACCCCCCCTCCCCCCTCCATGCGTACGTACTAAATGGATGGCCCCTTTCTTTAAATAGTATACATATATATGACGTACGTCCAGGCCTAGGCATTACAGTACAAAGAATACATAACAGAAACTTGAAGTCCATAAAAAGAGAATAAGGAAAAAATACTGCTTGTAAAATAAAACTACTGCAACGCGAAACCCTTAAATTACATTTTCAGTTCATACAAGCTTTTTGTGTTGGTGGGATCAACAAACTCACAACATCTGATCTCGTCACAGGGACCTTCAGTCGGGAATTTTGTATAGGCAGTGCCACACATGTAGCCACCCTGTTTATGTCTTTATAACAACATCAATGGTTAGCGACATGAAAGAGCCCATTCAAGGCATGTCCTGTAATATTGTGTAGTGTCTTTTTCCTTTTCGGCCAGAGCGTTGTTAACGAACGTGGTGAGTTTTTGTGTGCATGAGTACGCCCCTGTGTTCGCGGTACAGGCAGCAAAGACAAAAGACAAAGACCCCCTCACCCATATGGCCTTAACAGACTGTTGAGCCAAGTGCTGTTAGCGAGCACCGATGAAGGCCGGCACGGTGGCCAGCACCACGCCCGGCCTCCTTTGAGGCTGAGTCGACCTAGCGGTGGTCCATGACCGGTTTAGATAATCGTCACTGGTGTTGGCTGTGAGTGGGAATCGAACTCGGGTCGTCGGGGTCGTAGCACAGCGCGCACAGCGCGCTCACCGCTGCGCCACCGCTCCCCAAGGTGTAATGACACACCCTTTTCAAAAAGCGCACCATTTTTAAAAAAATATATATATACCTTGTCAACCCCAGGAGTATGATAAACTACAGCAGTCGCACACAAAGAACGGTAACAATAAATTGTAAAGCACCAACGGTAGCATTGTGTGCCATCTGAATGATCGGACACCATTCTCAGGTGGGCTATCGAAGCGTTCTACGGCAGCATTGATGCCAATATAATGTATAGTCCTTACCCGACATAAGCGGACAGACTGACATGGTCACAGCCTTCCTGTTACGGTTGGGGTCGGAAACCTGCGGCTCCGGAGTCACGTGTGGCTCTTTTAAGGACTGTTTTGCGGCTCTTGAAATGAAGGTAATGTTTTTTTTACCAAATAAAAAAAAATATCTCCTCTTGTTATTTTGGTTTGCCGACACCAGCATTACGGGAAATGTTTGACTGCAGTACAAACACGATCACGTATCAAATG